GAATTGTGTCTGTAGTGCCAAGGCAATAACCAGATAGCATGACTGTTATTGGTAGTGCAAGTAATGGCCAGGTAACGTGGATTTTGTTTGTAGTGCCAAGGCAATAACCAGATAGCATGACTGTTATTGGTAGTGCAAGTAATGGCCTGGTAACGTGAATAGTATCAGTAGTGAAAGTAATGTTACCGTCAGTAACTGTAAGGGCCAGGTAACATGGATTTTGTTATTAGTGCCAGTAATTGCCAGGTAACGAAGATGTTATCTGCAATTTCAGTAATAGTCTGTTTCCGTATATTTTGTCAATAGTGTCTTATTTAGTGTATTTGGTAGTGTAAATCAGGTATCATTGGTACTGTTTCTAAACTCTCAAGATCTAATTCATTATGACACAATTCAATAAGCTCCAATACCCCAGAGATGTATTAACTTATTTGGGGTAACTTAGAATAATTATATTTTAGTGCCACACCTTACCTTTTCATATATAATATGCTATTATCAAAAAACGGTTGTCACCTCCGCTTCCTTCAAGTTCGCCTGCCACCCCAAACAAATTCAACATGCACCCTGATGTTGAAATATCCTGAAATGTGTTCGATAATGTTGATATATGTATAAACTTCACCAAGTTTTGTCGACATTTAACAAGTGAACATCGCCTAAATTCACAGTGCAGTGTTGGATACGGGGCATGTCCAGACGCCGAGGCTGATGGAGTGGATGACGTGTATGACTCTTTCGCCGTGATCACTGATGGTATAACTCGTATCGGCTTCACCAGACAATTGGATACAGGTATGTTTGTTTTGGGGACACCCCCTTGCGACCGCGTGCGTTTATGGCATAACAGAACGAAGGCCATTGTTTTGGTCCGCAGTCTCCCATCAATAAAAAAAACATGTTTTTGAGAGATTCACTGTATTCTAAATGACAAACGAATACACAACCAATGAGTGTTGTAATACATACATTGCTCACACCAATCTACGTCATTATGGCGCCAAACAAGCGCTTCGCCACTTATAGGAAATTTGTATCATAAATAATTGTTAACGGCGAAATATAATACTCGATTACAGTATCCTGATAAACATAATATTCATAAAGACAGTTGTGACGACCCTCTACATAAAGTATATGTGTAATTCACGATGTTCATATAAATTTAAATTCATGAAGTCTCGACCGACTCCGAATTGAAGTGACGCTACAGAGTACAGCCGTGTAGAGCTCCATCAACCGACCACAGATTGGTTTGTACCAAGCAAAGTGTGCAATGGTGCATGAATACAATATTATGCGAATTCATGCTACAAATGTTAATGATTAAAAAAACCGACAGTTCACCTATTAAGTAGCTGTATTCACCAGACTTTAATTATTTTCAGGTGATTCGGTCGATAATGCAATACCTTCAGACGGAGAAGTCTATATATCATGGGCTATTGGTCTAATTAATCCGAATGGTTTAGCAGCTAAGCACCACACGGTACCAAGCGGTGAGGCATCACATACTTGCACGTATTTTACTTATTTGTTAATATAAATAGCATTATGGATTAACGATGTGATTTAATTAATGTTTTGTTTCCAATGTCATCAGGTAATGTCAAGTTGAATTTTGGTCGAGTCAACTCTGATAACTGTCCATCGTTTCCGGATACCACCCTCAAACCAGTGACGCCATGGGAAGAGGTATGTTTGGATGGGGACGAGGACAATACTGTGTTTCGTGTTCGGATTGGTCAAGCTGGCGGTAGGAGGGGATATACTGCCATCACCGGTATGTCAATCAGATTACTTTGTTTTCAACTATGAGATTTGGAAACCCTCTGTGGATATCTCTCCTCAATAACATAAGTTAATTTAAAAATAAATATTCTTCTAATACAGGATTAGTTTCATGGGGTATTGCGTGGTACATAAATGAAACATTAATACCAGTACTGAGATTAAAGCGTGGCGTCAACTACACATTCATCATCGAGGGAGGTGACGATCCGATGCAGTCTGCATCCTACCACCCATTCTACATTACAGATGACCCGGTCGGCGGATACGTTCAAAAAAGTCAAGAAGAAAGAGAGGTTACATATATTTGTTTATTTTATTCGACTATTTTTGTTCGATATATGACATTTGTTTGGATGTGCTGATAATAATAATAACAACATACAGGCACACCCAAAAGATGCTTCAGAACCGCAAATATTCCACAAACGTCTCCCAGCGAACTTCATGTAGTTGTACTATGTTTATTTTCAATTCAGCAAGTCAAGGTATATGCCGGTGTAGAGTTTGAGAATGGAAATCCGTCACCAACCGCAGGTAATCTTTGTGCAATATACCTTGTTTTCTAGATATATAAGTTATTATTGCTGTTAAATTAAAATATATTATCAACTGAAATCGACAAACGATCTGATATTTATTTCATCATGGACGCGTTTAAAGCAAAACAGTGATCACGCTGCAACGAATACCAAGTATCCGAACGCACACTGCACGCCGACTGGGATAAATACAATTACAATACAATTACAACCTGTTTATTACAGCGGGTCGCTACTGTGAATACAAAACTACAGGGGTTGACCAATCGGAAGAATCAGAAACTTTTGAAGATTACTTCAAGACTCTGAAATTGGATTGTGAAGAAGGGGCACCGGGTGAGCTGTTATGGACGCCAGACGAGAACACGCCCGACACCGTGTATTATCAGGTAACAATTTAGAAATTATATGTTTTACGCGTGTTCATTACTGCTCGTTCATGTATCACCTAAAGTAGTATGTGTTCTATATAATGCACTTACACACTTTTAGTTATCTGCACGTACTAGTATTAATTATTAGTACGTACTAGTAATAATTGTTAGTACGTACCAGTAATAATTGTTAGTATGTACCAGTAATAATTGTTAGTATGTACCAGTAATAATTGTGAGTACGTACCAGTAATAATTATTAGTATGTACCTGTAATAATTATTAGTATGTACTAGTAATAATTGTTAGTATGTACTAGTAATAATTGTTAGTATGTACCAGTAATATTTGTGAGTACGTACCAGTAATAATTATTAGTATGTACCTGTAATAATTATTAGTATGTACTAGTAATAATTGTTAGTATGTACTAGTAATATTTGTTAGTATGTACCAGTAATATTTGTGAGTACGTACCAGTATAATTGTTAGTACGTACTAGTAATAATTATTAGTACGTACCAGTAATAATTGTTAGTACGTACCAGTAATAAATGTTAGTACGTACCAGTAATAATTGTTAGTACGTACCAGTAATAATTGTGAGTACGTACCAGTAATAATTGTTAGTACGTACTAGTAATAATTGTTAGTACGTACCAGTAATAATTGTGAGTACATACT